TCCGGGGTTGCTCCTTTGGCCCGCCCCCCCGCCTGCCTCCCCCTTCTCAGCACCTTTGCCCACCATCTCCCGGTTTTGCAATCTGTGCAGACACTGTCCCGCGTGCGTGCACAGAGCATACGTGTGTTTCTGGGACTGGATGAGTCTCCCAGATTTGGAGATCTGCGTTGTATCCACCAACAGACCGATCCCGGAGCACCACACTCTGATTCAGATATATAATTGCCAGGGTTCGGCCTCAGCAAGCCTCTAACTGCTTTTCGGAGGGCACTTGCTCTTTCGCAAAGGCAGCCCCATCCTCCTTGCTATGGACTTTTCCTTTGAGGTCTGCCAAAAAGAGCTTCCACGCCTCCCTGCTAGGGACATTGCCTGTCCAGCAAAAGTGCTGCAGATGAGGAGCGTTCCTGGGGCAGGGAGTGACCAACCCGGGGCAGGCAGGGAGCGACGGGGTGGGAGGGGGCTGTGCCTGGCAGGTGAGGGGCTGAAAGGCCAGCTGGCGGCAACGTGGGGAGGAATCATATCAAAGGGAATATTTTTAGAGTGAAAGGATGTGCTGAGCCTGGCAATCTGAAGCAAGCAGAGTCCAGGGTGCCGGTCCATACAGCACTGGACTGACTGTAAGTATCTCTTTGCAGAATATGGATAGGAGCCTACTTAAAGCGGATCACAGGGAGATTCAGCCTTGACAGGAAATTACTTTCAGGTTTCCCTGCTTAGTTTAAAATGCAAATACAAATATAGGCTACAGAGCTTTTCACATTTCTTTGTTTTCTGTGGCACTCACTGGGAAGTGCCACCAGTTCATGCTTGCCCCGCGCTAAGAGTCTGTGCAATAGCTCCGATGGCTGTCCCCGATTAGCTGGGTTTTTTCGGTTGCGTTAGTCGGCTGAAGCACAATAGGAGTTTCTCCATCTAAAGTGGGTAAGAAGAGAAAAAAAAAATCCTTTAAGCATCTTTCATTTGATACATAAGTCAAGCTTTTTGCTAGCACCACAACATTTTGTCTGCAGTTTTGGCTGCAGCTAAATCTTGGCCTCCTTGGTGACTAAGGCCTGCAGCACTGCATCACAGCCAGCTGTGTGTGTCCTAAAAAGAGGCAATGTCCACGCAGAGCCTGCAAATGCTCTTACACCTTATCCACGTTTAATGGCAGATTTCAGGATGACTATTGCTATTGTTGTTATTAAATTGGACTAAGCTTTACCTACTGCTTTGCAAAGATGGCAAGATAAGGGTCCCTACTTGTCCAACTGCAAGTGCTTGCTTCCTGCAAATGTCTGAATAGGACGAGTGCTGTTGTGACTCAGCATGCAAGCACTCACCTTGACAGGCTTTGCAAGAATGAACTAGAAATGAGCCTTGAAGAGTACAAAGCTAGCAGTAAAGAAAGAAGAGAGTTAAAAGGAAAAAAAAGGAAAAAAAAGTGTGAGTAGTAACATACTTGGGAGTGAAGAAATCCCATCTACCCTGAAAGCCAGAAAGCTATATAAAAATGCTACATTTCATTTTAGAAATCCTATATTAATATATTTATGATTGGATTTTGAGAACTATTGTTCTAATGAGTTTGGAACTGGCAAAAAAAATCATATTGTCACTATATAAATCCTTATTATTTATTACTTTCTCATTACATTCATCTCTATGTTTGGTTTTCCAGTACAGCTGAAAAAATGCATTCGTTGGAGAGTGGAGAAAAGTTAAGTCCCTCCAGAGTCCACTGATGGCTCTTTTGTTCACCCTGATAATGAGCAGGATTTGGGTGCCCTTCTCCTGGGCCCCTTTTCAACCACTTTTTTGGGAGGGGGCTCAGCTCTCAGAGACTGTCTATTAAAGATTCAGCAATCTCAGTGCAGAATACAAATATGACAAATTTTGGCCTATCTATCTATTGATATTAGCACAGGTTTCACATTAACTGAATTTGCCTGATGACTTTTTTTTTCCAAATGTCCGAATGGTTAGAAAAAAACACATCTGACGTTTCCTCCTGTTTACATGACAGTTGATGGGATGAATGGTGGGCAAAAGATGTAACGTATAGGAGTAACTTAACCCAGAGCAGGAATCTAATTGCATGCCATACGGCTTCCCCTCAGTGGGGGTAGAACAACTTTGACTCTGTCAAGGTGAAAGGCAAGAATGATTAAATGCTGAGCAGCTTCTCTGCATGGGCAATTCCATATTTAGACGCAAGGTCAAAGACAGACATGTTTCATAACTCTTAAAAGTATATGAGTAATTAATGTTTGGAGCTCATCTCTGGTTCAGACGAGTTTGTCAGTTCCAAACCATTTTTAAGTTGCTAAGTGTTTTCTAGATTGCTGAGCAGCATTTGCTCACACCCTCTGCTGCCTCCAAGTTGCTCATTTTATGGAGGATCATTTATGGAGGGCAGAGACTTTTCAGTTAGTTTTCCCGTGACACCTAGATGCGCAACAAGAGAACAGGACCCACTGCAAATATGTCACATTGCTTCCAGCTGACCTGCAAACAGTTCACTAGACACTTTCTCTAAGTATTTTGCTGCCTGCACCCTTCCAAGATTTATGATGTTTTTTATCAGAGCAGGGGCCCACAGTATAATACACTGTACAAATATAGCCTGTTAATGGAAAGCTGCAGAATGGAGGTGCGGCAGAATTCACAGTTAAAACTGTTTTCTATAGATAGCTCTTGCTCACTGTTCGCCTACATTGATATCATATGGAGTGCGGAGGAGACAATGAAGTGCTAAAAACTTATTGCTTCTGAGTTGGGAAAGTATTTTGTTATTCAGGTTCCTTTTTCTTTTTTTTTTTTTTCCTCCCTGATTTGATTTTCTGTAAAACGAAGGTTGGTCTAGAAATGTCTTGCTTTGCACTTATGACGTTCTTATGAAACAGGAGAGCAGAACAAACCCGATAAACTCTTTGAGTACATCATTACACCTTTAGGTACCAAGGCAATCCAAATTTCAACATGATCTCATCTGGGACCACAAAAATCAACAAAAGGTTTGCCATTGTCTTCAACAGAAGCAAAATCTGGCAATCCAAACTGCGTGTGAGGGAAAATAATGAACAGTTCCACACTTCCTTGCTGCAGAGAAGTGACACTTTCCTCTGCCAGTATATTTGCTATTTATCTGTAACATTATGGCATGATATTAAAATTACATGACTATATCCTTTTTTTAAAGTCAGGTTTGATCTGGAATTCTAATAAATGTTCTATTTTGGAAACTGATCATCCATTGTACGTTAAGCTTCAGTCCTCCTATGATTCAAATCAACAGTCATGAAAAGAAATCACTGTAACCTAAGTACAGGCCAGATCTTGCAAATCTTTCTGTTGATGATACTACCTATGGAAGTAGATGCTGTAAAATGAATCCCACAGAGACAGATATTCAACAGCCTGAGCACTAGAACTAGTCAAATATATTTCAATAAAACTTTCATCTAGAGAAATATGCCATTTTGTCAGAATGGAAGCCATTCAAATGGTTGCGCTGATTTCAGTGGCAGCTCACGTTGTTTTTACATTTTAGGGAATGAAACATTGCATGTTTTGCTTCACATTTCTTTTTTACTAAGAAATGCATTTTATAGTATGTTATTCTGAGGAATGAGATCAACCGTGTAACAAACAACTGGATTTTGTTAGAGAGAAGTGTGGGGTGGGGGTCTGAAAATTAGTGCTGCTGCACCAGTTATCAAGGTGAAGTCTAAATCGCAGAACTCCAACAACAGGCATCTTCCCTTTCCCATGCGGTACGACTGGCTCCCAGCAGCTCCCACTGCGTGGCAAGAACTGGCGGAGACTTGTTCGCAGAGGTTGTTAACATCAGGAATTATGACATTTCATCAATATTGCATTCTTCAGAAAAGCAATGACTTGACTACAAAACATTTGGATAAATTAAGCTGAGGCCTTAGTTTGAGAATTTATGTTTTGTCCTTAGTAAAAAAAAGTTTTGACTAGCAATAATGTATACACTGGCAACAGCAGGAACTACAGAAATTAATTACCAGCTAGACTGCTCAGCCTGTGGGCAAAGGGCACGCAAAGAATTTGGATCCTAATATGAATTTCTCTTCCATAATGAAGTCTGCTGCAGGAGTATTTACAGTCAGTTTCTCAATTACGTACAGGAGCATTTCTATTATATAAATAAAGGCAGCCATGGGTATTCATTTCTATGGCACAAAATTTGAAAATGTCTGATGGAAAAGCCTAAATTAGTATCAGTCTATACCATTCTAACTCAGTTGCATTGTTTTGGCCAGCATCCCTAAAATTTGGGGAGTGTGCAGCTTGAGTCTGTACCCATTCATTTTCTAAACCCAGTGTCTATTTTCCTTTCGGTTGAAGAACCTCACATTATCCTCCCTCATGAAGATTTTACTTTTTTTCCTGACTTGTTATTCTGTTTTCATCCTAATTTAAAATATAGATAATTCTCATCTACTCAGGCAAGCTGATTTTGGTAGTAGGAACATGTAACAAAACTGATGAGAAGGGTGGGAGAGGTATAAATTTCTCGTTTTCTTCAGGCTCTGCCTATTTACTTAATATCTTCTTCAAAATATTTAAACCATACAATTCCACATACTATTAATTTTTTGAACTGGTACTTTGCTGAACATTTTAAATTAAAAAAAAGGGGGGGTATTGCAGTGATAACTTGGTGGGCGTAAAGGGATGGGAAGGTGGCCTAAATTAATGAGCTCACATCAATAAATACTGCTAGTGGTGGAAGGAGGGAGCAAACTTTTTCTTGGCACTGGGGAATTTTGTGGTGGATTTTGAGAGAGAGGAAAGTATCTGCCAAATTACAAGAAAGGCAAAGAAATGTTGAATTAAGAAATTTTTATCCTTCAAAGTTCATTCTTCATATTTCAAACCTGACTTTGGTGTTGGAGACCCATAAATATCAAGAACTATTTTAAACTTGTACTTCCCAGGGGCCTACTATCTTATAATGCATTGCACTTATTTCAAATAATGTATTGTACTCATAAAGCCTTCACTAATAATTTTTGTTGCCCTGGCACAGACTGACCACGTATGACCAATTTTTAAACTGACTGTACTTTGCCTTGATATGGCTGTAGGCAAAATCAATTTAAAAACAACACCACACATTGGCATATCAGCTACATAAATAGCATTTGTTTCAACTACAAGTGTTTTGTTACATATTTATGGAAGGGTAAATTTGTGTGAACAAGGAAAAAAAAATATTCCTGCTAGGGGAACATGACACTTGCAATCTGGCAGTTCTAATTTAAGCATAATAAAACGTAAGAATATAACAGCATAAGACCTTCCATAACAATGGGAAATAGGAAGGGTGAGCCAATTGCTTTAGGTCCTTTCTCCTAAAAAAGCATACTTCTAATCACAGCTAATGTAAATCTGCAATTGAAAAGCAGCATGGTTCTTATCCTGATGCCCTAGTCTCTTACTGCTGGAGTAAGGATCACTGCATCACTCAGTCTGTCCTGCCAGTGTGCTACATCTCAAAGCTTTGGGATGTTCCTGCTTCCCCTGAAGGTAAAGGCAAAACTCCGCCTCACTTCAGCAGACTAGACAGGTGTCTTTCCTCAAAGTAGGTTACCTACACTAATGTTAAATTAAGAAATCACCATCATTATCCTTTTGTACAGTCCTTCATCAATTAAAACCTGTGAGTGCAGCCTGGGGACATAGCTAAGCCAAGCAAAGAGGGCTTCCTGGTATGGCAGGGGGGTCCTGCTCCCTACACCCCCATGTGCCCAGCCATGCACTCTTGTTCCTTTCTTTGAGTTGGCATTAGCATGTGGCCTGTCCCACAGAGAGACATGGCAGGGAGCTAAACTGGCAGAAAACTATTCGCTTGTTTGGTAGGATTAGTTTTCATCTGGATCATATCCACAATCTGACTCATTGTAAGGTAGCAGGATTGCTACTGCTAGTTCGGAAGAGAAAGCAGCCTGTGGGAGGTCGTGGATGGGAGTGGGACAGGAACATGGCATTTAGCTAGCTCAAACTTGGATTGGATGCCTGCCTTAGGTTATTGTGCAACCTTCCTGTTAGAAACTTTGCTTCTTTTCTTGAAGCCCGTTATTGAATGGATACAGTTGGCCCATTATAGTCAGTGATAAATTTTACAGGAGTAAAAATTGAATGGTTATACTTATTTGGGCAGATTAGATGTGGCAAGCAACAGCCCAGCCAGAGCCTAATGCATAAATGTAGGATCTAGGATACGAATCAATGGGGTGTGAGGGTACGTGTGTGGGGTGAGCATCTTCTCTGAAGATTAGTGCTGGGACTTTTAATGTTTATGTGTCTAATCAAGAAAATATGAGATATAGGGGATATTTCATTATAAGTGCCATAAGTTTATTTTTTTATCAGTGCACAACTTGGAAGGTTCACCAAGTCATAGTGTTAGCTGGAGTGAATTAGCACACTTTCACTGACGTCTGGAAGCAACCTCAGTTTCATGAGAAGAACGTCTGGCCTACAGGCTTTAAAGATTATTTTGAACAGTTTTGTCACACAGTAAGTCCCTGTAATACACACCTCTTTCCATGTCAGTCTTAATTTGCTCTTCCAGATCCTCTGGAGACACACAAAACTCATGCTCTTCCCCTTCTGGTGCTTTGGGTTTACATTTTCCACAGCAGCAGTTGAAACAGCAGCACAGGCAGCAGCAAAAGTAACAGCCCGTCAGCAGGCCACAGACTGCAAACAGGCCCTAGATTAAACAGAGCGGTGAGGAAAACCCCATGAGCAATGAACTTCCTGAAACTCATGACGGTATGTTACAGCAGAAGGCAGATTGTCAAAGGAAATCAGATTTCCAAGTGCTCTGCAGTCACAATTAGAGCCAGATTTCAGAAGAGTTCAACTGCCAATCAAGTGCCTAAATAAGGGCCAGATCTTCCAGAGTCCTCCTAACCCACCAGCTCCTACTTGACACTCAGGACCATATTTACAAAGAATGCGACAGCGAGCAGGCCCCCACATGCTGAACTCTTGAAAGTCGGTCTTCATCTGAAGGCCATCAGAAAAAACTTCCAAGCAGTATGCAAAACCCCACCCACCTTAAAATGACTCATTTCCATCTTAAAAATGACTCATTTGCCCAAGATCTTTTTTGCAAACACTTATTTACTGGCAGATTCTTGTCAATAACAAACCTGAAAGAAAAAGAAGCAAAGACCCGGCTGCATCCCACATAACTTTAGACATGGAACTAAAGCATCTAAATTAGGACTCTAGTCTCTGTGGGCTCCCCACATAGTCAGTGGAAAGTTATAAGTCCTTCCAGAGAGTGATTCACCCCTGGGAGGATTTGAATTGCCTGTTGGAGGTGTCTCTCTCTCCCCATTAGCCTATGCAGGATCACGGAGGTGAATAACTCCTAAATTAGACTCCTCAGCCTGTGATTTCTTCATCTGGGGACTTTGGCAGCATACAGGAACAAGCAGTTCCCACCTTCGTGTCCTCCTGCTTGCTCCTGTCCCAAAGTGTGGCCAGAACAACTGTTTGTGTCCAAGACCAGAGATCTGATCCAGATTCAAAAGCCAACAAACTTTTATTTACAGAGCTTTTCTTCATCCAGATCAGTTTATTACAGCTCCACAAGTAGCTGTGCTGGGGGCTGCGTGCTGTGGTACAACAGCGGTATGGGGAGGCTGGAGAGGGGACTCCTCAGGCTGGCACTGCTGCCAGCACCTCCAAACAGGCAAGACAGCAGTTCCGCTCCTACCCTGGAGCGCAGCAGTAGAGCGAGGACCCAGGACTACAGGAAGAGGTTTGTGGCAAAGGTGACATATCCACCTCCTGTCTTGCGCACACTGCTGTAAGAGCAAAGCTGAGCCAGTGAAGTTCCTGAGAGAGGAATCGGAGCTGACACATGGCATAAATGCATGTGAAGTTGGCAAAACTTCATGGCAACCAGACATATATGAGTTAACATGAAGGCATAGCCTGGCTTTAGCATTATAGTTACACATGTGGACCGCTCTTTAACAGACGCACTTTGATTTAAGTTCGACTTGCCAATTATTTGTTATGTTCAGAAGAAAATACGCTGCTGAAGAAGAAAGAAAGCATAAATGTCTGAGTAGATAACACTCAGTTACATATGCGTGTCTCTGGCAATGTTAGCAAGGGATAATTAGAGCATCTTGGAAGTTAATGACACTATTTACATGCTTAATATTAACCATTTATGTGTTTGCAAGTGCAAAGCCAATGATAATCCATTTACCCACAGATATACCCAGAGTGAATGAGATGCTTTTAGAAGACAAGGAGGACTCAGAAATACTGATGTAAAACGTTTTCCCTTCTAAACTGACATCTAGAACTGTTAGAAATACAGGAACCCCTAAAATAAGTTATTTGACAGTTTATAATTTATGCGGTAATGGAGAAAAAAATCTAAGAAAATTTAATTGAATGAACAAGGATGGAGCAAAAGTGCATAGAGTGAAAAAAACCTCTTTGAGCTCATACAACACTGTCTTATATGTATTAAGATTTCTTGTGTTTATAATATCATACAGCTGGTGAATCAGGAATCAGATTAGCACTAATGTGATCAATGTACAGTCTTCATGGTACAGGCAGAATTGCGTTTTGATAAAATAGTTAAATGACACGTGCCACTCCTGCCAGTGGATAAACATTTAAAACTACAAAAAAGTACCCGTTATGCATGTTAGTATGTTCCCAGTTTAATGTGCCTGCTAAGAAGTCTAGTGTTGCCCAAAATTGTCATTTCCACGTTGCATTTCTCCTTTCATTTGAGTTTCTTTACTTTTAGTGATTCATCTTTTCATGATTGTCAGATTTTCTGAGTATGAGTGTGATAGGGAAGAGGATTTACCATAAACTTCAGTAATTGAAGAGCAAGGTAATTAGCAAAAGCTGTGGTTGCTAGCCTCTTCGAAGCAGAATGGAAAAAAGAAAGGGGGATCAGAGATCATCTGCAGTCAGATTCAGATAGTATTGACAGGCAGTACAAAAACCTGAAACTAACCCAGCATTTACGAGTGAGAAAAAAGAGATGAGGATAGTGCGAGAGATGGGGAGAAGATTAAGCTCTACTTGACAAAACCACTCGGTGACCTGTTATGTTTTGGGGGTGGCAAGATTATGGGTTGGGGGAGACAGAGAGAAACCACCTGTGACAATCCTCAAATGATTCTGTACACACATTTTGGATTTTTTTCTCAGATATTTTGCATGGACTTCTCGAAATACAGAAAGCAATGACGAATTTTGCTGGGATATTCAGTTTTGCAGCTAATCTCTTCGCATCGCCAGCATGCGATTCCCTTCAAACAATCCACCCATTCCTCATTTAGCTGTTTAGGGACTTACTAGCTTCTCTCTGTACTCCCCGCTGCTCTTGTTATGAGTCAAAGCCACAACAGTTATCTCTGTTCCTAATCTTCTAACCACAGAGGATTTTATACTTCATAAAATCTCCATTAAAAGTTGGTAAGCAGAGGAAGAAACAAAGGCAAAAAAGTGTCACTGTTGAAGGAGTCGATACTGTTGCTATCTCAGCTCTGAGAAAATGCTTCCTGGCATCTGAGTTGGGGCAAAGAGGCTGAAGAAGAGCATGAATAGACAGCAAAGAAAACAGGGAGTGATTCAGCAGCAGAAGCAACCAACTGTAGAAGGGAGTCCAGCTTGCAGCAAGAGTCAGCTACAGTAGCAGCAAGCAGGCAGCCTCCAGTTTTGGTTTTGAGGATGTAACTGCAACTTTGCAAGTCTAATTTTAGCACCAGCATTTTGTTCATTAGTTTCATTCCCTATTCTGCATCTGAGCAGTTTCCATCTCATACTAACTTAGCATACAAAATCATGGCTCCCTAGATCCACAGAACTGCCCAAGCTGGGCTCTGGTAAAAGGGGACTGTGGAGGCAGTGAAATCCTGGCCTGATTTGTAATGAACATAGGAATCTATACTCCAGGGTCCTCGCATCAAAGTTGTCACAGCACACTTAGTTCACACAGATTAGACCATTTTTCTGTTTTTTCTAGTCCTTGCTTTCCTGTGATTTTATTGTTGGAAATAGATGGGGAAAGCATGGATTTTGCACATTTGCAATGCTGCTGGCTTGTCACATTTCTGCAGCATTTCAGCACTTGCTGAAACATTAGAACACCAAAGGACAACAATGACATAAGAGAGCACATGAACAAAACTCTTTTATCACTAGAGCACTCCATGATGTATTTTTCCTTTAGCAATATGCCAGTTTCTGATGCATCATCCTCTTCCTTTCCTGATCTCTTCCTCCACTCCACAGTTCTCACCTTTTTTTCTACTTCCCTTCTCTCACTCCCTCACTAAGCACCAACAGGGCACATATATGACACCATAATCACACAGTGTTATATATTATTATTGCTTACTTATGCTGTGTGCTATATATAGCAAAGAACACAGCTAAATTTGTACTGTAATAACTTATTAACTGGTTGTCACATAAGTGGGACTTCTCATTTTTTGAACAATGAGTCATTTTTATTTAGTCATTACTGAAAAGAAAGTCAAAATTAACCTAGAGCATCAGATTCAAATCTAATTAATGTCTGAAAGTGTTACAAAACATGCACTCTGTTTAACTATTTACCAAGTTAAAAAGAAAAAGAAAACATTCTGTATTAGCCCTTTTTTTGAGCTGATACTACATACTGCCTCTGTGAATTTTCCAGATACATTACAGTTTAATTAAGCTTCTAGTAGTGTTTTAGATTCTGATACTACCTTTTGTTAAGCCTGTAAAGGGAGCACATTTTTCAGGGTCTCTTTGTGGATGTAGAGTGTCAGTGTACCATGTGCATTTTAATATTTGATTTTTAACAGAAAATAACAGCTTACCTTTGCCCACCAGCTTGAGAGCATGAAGTATGTGTTAACATTTTCTTCACCAAACTGTTCAGCCACGTAGAGCCCTAATGATCCATATTTGTCATATATGTTTCTCTTGGACAGATCAGTCAGTGTTGCATGAGCACTGTTGATCTCTTTAAATTTCTCTGCAGCCTCTGGATTGTCAGGATTCTTGTCAGGATGATATTTCAGAGCCAATTTTCTTAAGCATGAAAAAAAACAGAAGGAAAAAACATCTATATATGTTTGTGTATATATATATATATACCTATGTATACAGATGCTTACAAAATACTACAAAATATTTTAGTAGTGACATATTTGTTCTGAACAGTATGTTCAACCTGTACCTTATTTTTTCTGATTCTAATGTACACAGAGGATTCAGTGGAAGGAATGTGACGCAAAGCTGAAAAAAATAATCTGGTTTGTAAAACAGCCTTGGAGGAGGACTGCGTCTTGAGTAGGCAGGTTGTTTTCTGGAGGATCTGTAAATATTCTGCTAAAATAGTTGGCAGCCCTCTATATAAAATTATAAGAATGTCTGTACTGAATAAGACTATCTGTCACTCGCTAGTGGCTTTTAGCACTTTCCTAGAGAAAAGGCCTAAGGAGAGGGCAGGTGCAGCACCAGCAACTGGGAACACCCTGCTTGCTTTCACTGGAGACTTCCTATGCCAGACCGCACTCAGTAGCACCCAGGGCGGCTTATTCATGGGAACATATCTCACACTGACATCTGTAACATTAGCAATATTTAAAAAAAAAAAAGAATGTTTTAATAACTCTACTGCTCATATAAAACTCAATGGCAAAGTCTCGTTTAAGTGCAGTGGACATACAAACCATTAAATAGACCTTTCAGTATATTAAAATGCAGATTTCTCACCTCTCAGTATTTCTGACTGTCTCTTACAAGAAGTACATTGGCCTTTCAAATGCAGAGACTCCGATCCAACTTTCCTCCCAAGGCCTATCAACCCACCCTAGTTCCTAAAAGGGAGTTTTGTCAGATCCACAAATAGAATAATACAGAAAACTATTTTTCTCTTTGCATGGCACTGCCATATTGAAAGTTTTTGTGAAACACGTGTTCCCATCACACTAAAGCCCAGACGTGGTGTATTGATACCTAGTCAGCTACCAAGCTAAGGGAGAAAGTAATGCATACTAAAAGCACAGATTTTTAGCATGATAATAAATTAAGCATATTTGTTGCATTATATTTACCAACTGATTTACATAATTTAGTAGGTTTCAACAAAATGAAAGATTTTAAAAGGTTATTTGAAACATGAACTGTTTATCGCATCAAAACTACCTTCTTCATAGCAAAGGAAATTCAGTATTTGATTGCATATTTATAGATACATTAGTTTTATGAGCGGTGTTATGAACCCAGACAGGAATAATGGAAAACACAGTTAGCAGCTGCAGTAGAGAGGAAATATCTTTCTAAAGTACAGGACAGAAAAGTATACTGAGTTAGCCCCTGTTTCAAACGCCTGTCTCACTTTGGGCTTAACTCACCACTATCCCACTTCTGGGATAGTCCTTAAAACAGTGGAAGCTGATTGTCTAGAGGTTTGGATAGTTTATACTAGTATCCCAGGTTTTGCTGGGGCAGGGCTCAGTGCTCTTTTCCTCTGTACTCAGCTGAGTACAGAAGCAGTGTGAAAGGAATAGTGGGGCTTAAGGACAGCAGTAGGAAATCGCAGTTTTTGACGAAGAAATGGTTTGCTTCCAGCCATATCGGAGCACTGGCAATGTGAGCTCACATCTACCCGCAAAAGAAGCATAGACTGTAACTGTATCTTTTGAAAATCTCCACTCCCTTTGAGGAAGCGAGGATAAGATTTTTCCAGGACATCTATTTAATGACTAGTGCTGACCTCTAGTGGCAACAAAAGTGATTTAATATCATGTTAAACTCCCCAACTAAGCCAAGCTCTGTTGCATTTTGTAAATATTCTCTCAGAGTGTTTCAGGAGCTCATAATAGCATGCCCATAATAGCAAAAAAAATATTATTTATGCTGAGAAAGCAGTATGTCCACACTTATTGTATTAGGTTTATGTTTGGAGTGGGGTACTGCTTGACCTTCCACTGAAGTGCCAGTAAAGGTTATTCTCCCAGTAAAATCAATCGCTTTGCTCCAGACTACAGTTCCTCCCTTGGAGATATTCAGATATTCTGCCAATATCTAGATTGACATGAACCGAGGAATAGCCTCTGCCAATGATCTCCTCAGGTCTGTATACTGAACTCAAGTCATTTTCTCATAGGTCATAAATAACTCCTTAAAAACATGTCTCTAATAGCATGAATAGCTCATGTTCAGTCATATTTAATATACTGTGCATGTAACACCTTAAACACATAATAAAAAATGAAATAGGAGAACTGGAAAAACAAGCTAATTCTTGCATGACTAATGACATATATGCCATCCAAGTATTTAAGCAGCTTATGCAATCTATCCCTTTTCTTAGCTGAAAACAAAACCCAGCAATTAGAATGAAAAATGGGAGAGGTATTAATTTCAAAAGTATTGCTTGGTTGCAAGGATGAGACAATCAATCTTTGGTATTTCTTTCTTTTCCCATAACTAAAAAGCCAAAGACCTCTGCCGACCTCCCCATATCCCCAACAGTTTCATAAAAATGCAGATTTAAAAAAAAAAATCAGTTCCAAAGAGGTGAAAAACATGACCTGCATACTCCAATTTAGCTTAGTATAGTTCTACCTAATCTTTACTTTCAACATAGTAGTGTTATAAAAAATATAAGACACATTCTTCCCCTGGACAGGGGAAAACTATGTTCACTAATAATATTATATTAACAAAAAAACTGCTTGCTCTCCAAGATGACACATTCTAATTAGTCATAATTTAGAAATGGGAAAAAGATACATATACAGCTAGCACAATTAATGAAAATGAGAGAAAGTACTCCATTAGCTCCAGCACAGGAAACAATAACAGCACAGATCAGAAAAAAGCAACACAACAGAAGGTATCAAACAAATAGAAGCTTCCCTGTGACTCCTTGGAAAAAGAAAAAATTCTAGAACCTGGATAATAATGGTTCATTATAAGTAGAGAAAACTGAAGAAGTCAAAAAAGAGAATGAAATGAACCTAAGGGTTTGCCGGTTCCTTCCGAAATCAAAAACCGGCCTTTTTTTCCATTCAGCCGCTTCTCATGCTGAAGGCTCCTGGCCTGCACCGGCTCAGGACCACAACAGCCCTTGACAGCAGCAAGCAATGCGAGGATTGAGGGGTAGATGAGTGATGAAAAAGAAGAAAGCTACCACAACATCAAGCAATACAATTTTGTGAAAAAGGGCCAGGGATGCACGGCTACCCAAAAAGAGCAGGAGCATAAAAGGATCAAGGGTGCTGTTCCGTGTCCGAGCTCAGGCTGGGTAGCTGACTACAAGGGCCAGCGTCCAGATCAACACCAGACTGGAGGTTTGGAAGAGGCGCCGGGAG